ATGATATTATATCATTGAATTCAAATTTAACACTATCCATTATACAGTGACCCACTTGTAACCTACTGTACAGCAGAGCACCTTTTTTCATATGCATTTGAAGTTAAAATTTTGACAAAATTCAATAAAATATCGGACAATTTTCAGTTAGAACTTAGAAAATCATAAATGGGTTACTTTTCAAAGCTTACATTATAAATGTTGAAGAAGGCTCCTCTCAAATTTACCTACCTTAATCAAAAAAAAGTTAAAAAAAAGTTTTATAAGTGTTTGAATTTAAATTTCTACGATATTAGATTTTCATTGATAAATTAAAGAATTTTCATCAACCAATTTTTAATAATTTATCGTAACTTATAAATGAAAGAATCTAGATACTTGAATTTTTTATTAAATATTGAAACGACTATTACCTACCTATCCATACATGGTAATATTTTCAAACAATTTTGAAAATTTTTCAGTTTCTAATACCTATGACAAATTTTTTAAATGTTGTAAATTATTATTTAGTTAGAAATTCATAAAAGTTTTTATTTTCATAACTAAGATTTAAAATTTTAATAGAAGATTTTGCATAAGTTTTCCTACCTATAACAATTAAAAAAAAGTGTACTTAAACCAAGGTTTATTTTTTATGAGCGTTTGAACTTATTATTTTTACTACATTTGATATTCAGCAGTAAATTATTGATCGATTTTTAATATTTTGTTGTATTCAGTGGTGTTTTGGAGGGTATACGCGGGTATACGACGTATACCCTATCACCAGTTTACTGATTTAGCGTATACCCTGTAAAATTACTAGAGATACGCAAGTATACGTGCGTATACCCACGTATACCTTCAAAAAACTTAAGTAAAATAAAATAGTAATTGCTTCCAAAAAAACATTTTTATCTTTATTTTCAACGATGGAAAATTATCAAATTTTTTTTAATGATAATCGACTAATAACCATCATATCAATATCAAATTCATACATTCACAATTATAATCACGGCTATGGATACAATTATTTAAAACTATCAACGTAATGGACACAGTCCACAGATATTTTTATAATATTATCTGTATAGTTATGGTTGACTTGAGAGACTGCTGATTAGAAGAATGATATTGTATTATTGTATCGACAGCGGCTTCAAAAAAAAAACAGTTATTCACAGATGCCTTATCACAATCAGTTCGATTTGGTAGAAAACAGCGACATTGATAAGGATTTTCAGATTCTATAGTCAGTCAATTATTTTATATTTATGAAATTATGTAATATATTACTATTCAGAATATATTCTTAGTAAAAAAGATTTTATTTAATTACCAATTGTCTTATAATAATAATCGTTAGAAAAATGTATTAGATCAATTTTTTTTTACTGTTTACATAGCAAACAGAATTTATATGTAACAAAAAGTAAGTTCTAACTCAGTGCTTGGAATAAACTCGTTCATAGGAATCCCTTCCTTTGATTTCGTTCCATTTTTAGGAACTTATCGGGAACGTAGTTCCTTTTCATGTTTAGCAACGTACTGAAATTTCGTTCACTTTTTAGAGGAACATGAACGATTTTTTTCGTTCCTTTCTTCGTTCATTTATTTTTAAATAAAAGTAATTAAATCATTTTTAAAACTAAAATGAAAAAAATGTATAGCTTCTATTAAAATTTAGTAACTAATATGAAGAGCTATAAAAATAAACATGTATACGATATTATTGATAATGTTTACAAAATATAAATTCTGTATTTCTGTAGCAGAGGTTTATTTATACAGCTTATTAAATATATAAGTTAAAACCAGTGGCGTTGCGAAGGCTATTTTTTGGGGCAACCGCCCCTAGTAAAATTCAAGGGTGGGTAGGTGGGTAGGTCACCCAGTGGTGATATTGAATAGGTATGAACACTAAGAACAGTAAGAACACCATGAACAAAATATATATATAATTGGGTACCTATAAACCTATAACTGGGTATCAAAAAAATGTATTCGCCCCTACATAAAAGTCTTGTCGCCACGCCACTGGTTAAAACTATTACTAAATGTCTGAATAACAATGTGTTATGTTTAAAATTTTAAAATTAAAACAATTATAGTATAAACATGTGCGATGTACCTATGTTTTTTTATTTTAAGTCACATTAAAAAGGGACGAGGAAAGGAACTAATTCCTATCTTCAAGGCAGGAATGATAAAGGATTTAGTTCCTTTTTTAAAGGAACTTTTTAAGCACTGTAACTCCATCTCATCCTGATGCAAAATGTCTAAAATCCTTTTTCTGGGGGGGGGGGGCTAGGTAAATAAATCGACATATAAAGGCGCGGTGGTATACCGCACGACCCACCATAAGTTAATTTTTTGTTTGTTTAGAAACATTTTTTTTTGAGCTTATGTACTAAGCGTATACCCTAGAAAAAAATTACCAATACATCACTGGTTGTATTTTAAAACCAATAACCGTAGACTCATTAAATGTTGACCATATAGGTATTTATATCAGCATTTTCCATACACTCTGAATTTTTTTTTAACTATTTCGACGCTTTTTGAGTTATTTAAAGCCATTATAATTTTTTCAAATTTTGTAATCTATTTTTCAATTAGAAATTCATAAAAGTTTTTCTTTTCATAGCTAAGGTAAGACATTTTAATAAAAGATTCCCAACAAAATTTTCTACTCATAACAAAATAATTAAGTTTAGTGTTAAGTTACAATCTTTTTTTATGAGCGTTTGAATACATCATTTTTACGATATTGTATATTTAGTAGTAATTTATCGAATTCAACAATCAAGAATTGACTAAGCAGTCACCCACCGACCCACCACCTACATAAGTTACCTCTCAGAATCGTTTTTCGTATCCAATGATTTATCATTGAATTCAAATATAACACATCTATTACAATGACATACTCGACAACTACTGTACAGCAGAAAGGTAGGTACCCACTAGTCCATCTTCTTATAAATATATTTGTACAAATATGTACAATAATTAATAATATCTAGGCCGGATACCGGCAGTTTCCCGGTGGCACGCTTGTTTGGATTGGGCCACTTGTAATCGTAGGGATGTTTTTTTTTTAGGTTTATCGGTTAAGGCTCATCATGTCGACAGACAGGTCCGGATTGGTTAGGCAAGCTACCTAGAAAATCTCGGTGGGCCGCTTGAAGTTTGGGCCGGTCGTGTGAGTATGGGTGAAAATAAATTTATGTTTAAAATACGATTGGCTACCTATAAGCGAATCACGGAAAAAAAAACCAAGGAAAAAAAAACCAAGGAAAAAAAAACCAAAAAAAAAAAACCAAAAAATAAAAAACCAAAGGAAAAAAAGACCACGGAAATAAAAACCAAAAGAAAAAAAAACCATGAAAATAAAAACCAAATTTTTATATTTTGCTATATTAATTCATATTTCATTAAACATAAGTTTTAATTTTCTAATTAAAAATTTTGATCAATAATCCAACTGCCCAGGTGTTCTATCTGTTGAACACTATCGTCAGTGGCGTATATTGGGGGTAGGCCTAGTGGGCTGCAGCCTGCCCCCCGAAATTACAGTCTTTTTATATATTTAATTATTTATTATATTTTTATAAACAGTTTAACCTATTTGAAATTATTATTATTATAATTATTATTATTAATACATATTTAACAGGTAGAACACTTGGGCAGTTGGATTATTGATCAAAATTTTTAAGTAGACAATTAAAACTTAAGTTTAATGAAATATGAATTAATATAGCAAAATATAAAAATTTGGTTTTTATTTTCATGGTTTTTTTTTCTTTTGGTTTTTATTTCCGTGGTCTTTTTTTCCTTTGGTTTTTTATTTTTTGGTTTTTTTTTTTTGGTTTTTTTTTCCTTGGTTTTTTTTTCCTTGGTTTTTTTTTCCGTCTACCCTATAAGCTCGTAATAATTATAGACGTAATTTTAGGCCACTGAATATGTATATGGGCCGCTTATGGAAGTGAAAATCTCTATATGCCAATACATAACAACCCGGCCCTGTCGACAGACATAGACGCATTTTCTAATGCGATTGTATTAGAAAACTTTTTATAGTTAGGGAAATTTTGCACCAAATTCTCCACCAGTCCACCATATTAGAGACGCTAATTTAGCGTTATCATGCCTAATGTTCCTTCTATTTCTATAAGTATATGATTAATACTGTTTTTTATTGTAGTGCGGTTTGTTTGGAACATTGAGTTACTAATTACTATCTATGGTTTGGAACTTGAAAGACAAAGAAATGTATATAAAATGCATTCAACCGTTGTCTCTCTTCAACTCTTATGCAGAATATCATTCCCCGTTATTGAGAGAGAGTGAGAGAGAGAGAGGTCCAACGCGTTAAACAATTGCATGTGACGGAGACGTTGTGTATCATTTATATGTTATTTTACATGTTCCCCGTTACAGATCCACCCCCCGCCGGCCTGTTAATTGATAAGCTTTCAATCGCCAATATTATACAAATTATTATTAATATTATTAATTACTTCATTATTTTTATTTCTATGATATCATTATCACTGTTGTAGATAATAGTATCTAAAGTCGTGATTACTTAGAACAATTTGAATAAATCGTATTACTTATTTACTTAGTGCTTACGTCTTGGCACGTATTGCATCAATAATCATTTGTCCCACAAACTACAAAGTCATGATCTTAATTCCGTGAGCAAAGTGAAAGTTTTAAATTGGAGTCACATTATTATTTATTATCTAATACTATTGTGTACCTATTTTTTTGTATTTGCTTTTTAATTTGATTTAAACGTTCAAATTACCAATTTTACATTTTGAATTTTGTAGTACCTATTACTAGTTATCACATATCACCTTTGCAATATTATACTTAAAACATTACGATTAACAATATTTTAACAAATTTTTTGGTATTGAGTTAAATAAAACATAAGCAAAAGTAAAATCCATTACTAATATATACACAATATTATTTACGCGTTGTTCATATAATTTACCATGTTTTTAGGAATCTCTAATTTCCAAAGAGGAATTTTATTTTTTCGGAGTAAATATAAAATTTGTATTAATACCTATTTGATAATAACAAACCAATGTATTTTTTGTGTTGATATTTTTTTAGATATATCAAAAATTAGTGCAATGTCTCAATATCATACACTAAAAATTGAAAAGTCTAAAGAATTTGTTTTTAGTGTCCAAATAAATAGACCAGAAAAAGCTAACGCAATGAACAAAACGATGTGGCTGTAAGTAATATTTTAAAATTTGTATACATATTCTGTGATTGATATTTAAAACCATCTATGGAGCCAAAGAGCAGCTAAAATCTTCCATTTCAAAAAAAAGTTTCAATTTATTTCTCTTATGACATTCTACAAGATCCAAACAAATTAAAACGGATTTAGAGTCCACTGTTATTAGTAGTTATTTTTTCCTTTAATTTAAATTGAAGTTGATTGAGACCCACAAAGCTTAAAGTTTATTATCTTTGCTGAAGTTGTATGAATTTATTATTTAGTAATTTCAGAAAGTTTAATAGTCCTTAGTCATTAAGAGTACAAACTGGGTCGAACACTAATCATGACCTAATTAAATGCATTTTTTCTACTTAGTACAACTTCAACTACTACTACCTACTATAATTTAAATCTATTTTGTATAGATAGCTACTAGCCACTAGCCACTAGGTAATGTAGACAATGAACTATAGAACCAATAATAGTTTTTAATAATTTCTATAATTATATGTACTTACAAATCAATGCAGAAAACAACGTGTACTTATGTGGTGCATAAAAATGTAAAATAATTTGTGGTTATTAGGTTTAGTGAGATAACTAATGAAACTTTTAAGAAACAATTAAAGTGTATCATGTGACCAATGTTATAAATTTATTTTTAGGGAAATAGGAAAATGTTTTAATGAATTAAACGAGAACACGGACTGCCGGGTAATTGTTCTTTCAGCTAATGGAAAATATTTCACTTCAGGTACAGTTTAAATATTATGTTTTAATGTAATTATGTATCAGACTAATACTCAGTCCAGCAAAAAAACATGCTGTGGCGTAAGGAATTCAGGTTCTGCAAATCCTCACACAATACGCTACCATAGCGGAACAAGTGTCCTGTGAGGATGTGTAAAATCAGAGTATTCTCTCTCTGATCTGAATAGTATTTTATTCAAAATTCAATCGATAATCATTATGTTTCGATAAAAAAAGATTCATCTGTATTTATAATTATTAGATATACAATAATAATTAATATCTAAAACTGTGTTGTTAAGGTCTAAGCATAATCATTATGTTATTTTTTTTTTTTGCAATAGGAATTGATTTATTTGACCTAATGAATGTCGGCCAGGAGGTTGCAAATCATGATGACATTGCAAGAAAATCAAAAGTTTTACGGTGTTTTATTAAGACATATCAAGATTGTCTCACCGCTATTGAAAAAGTATTATTCTACTTTATTAACTTCACTATTCTCAAAAATACTTAAAAATAAACAGCATATTTATTTTTTTACGAATATATTGTATAATCCTAGTACTAAGCAAACATCTATTTTATACAATTACCAGTTTTCAAACTTAAAAATAACAAATTGTAATTTAATTTTTCAGTGTGATAAACCTGTGTTGACGGCTATTCATAATGGATGTATTGGTGGTGGAGTTGATCTAGTTTCAGCTGCAGATGTACGATATTGTACAGATGATGCTTGGTTTCAACTTAAAGAAACTGAAATTGGTTTGTTAAACTTTGAAATAATATGTTGTAATAATAATACTATTGTTAATGCTACATTATGTTTTTTAATTGCTTGATTAATTTTTTGTTTTATTGAAGTTTGTCAACAATTTTAAGTAAAGTTCTTTAAATTTAGGCAAATTGAATATTTTTTAATACCTTTATGTTTATTTAATTAGGAATGGCAGCAGATGTTGGTACACTGCAAAGGATGCAAAAAAGTATTGGAAGTATGAGTACATTCAATGAATTAGCATTTACTGCTCGTAAATTTCACTCTAAAGAAGCCAAAGATATTGGTTTTGTGACTCAAGTTTATGACACTAAAGAAAGGTAATTTTGATAATAGTATATCTGTAAATATTAAATATTAGTCTTTATAAGTGATTTTTTAAGTTTATTGTAACAAATTGAGTATTTTTTGGATTGAATTTGGTTTTTATTTAGTAGTTTTTCATACTAATTTATTTTTGTATTCCTAATAAATTTATGTTGCCATAATTCTACTACTAGAATAATATTATAGTTGTACTAATATTAATATTAATTTTTAGTATGTTAGAAAATGTTATGAACATTGCTTCGAACATAGCCAGCAAAAGTCCTGTAGGAGTCCAAATGACTAAAAGAAGCATAATTTATTCGCGAGATCATACCGTCCAAGAAGGATTGGATCATATCGTAAGTTAACGAGTATTAAAAGTAAACAATAGTAACTGATTGCTCTGGTTTTTAAATAAAAGCTTAAACAATTAAGTTAATGACACTTTTAATATGTTAAATACCTTAAAATGATTTAAAATTACTTATAATAAAATTTCAATTTATTTAATTGTATATTAGACTGTCATAAGTACTTCTACTGTTTACACTATTTTATTAAAAACAATTTATATATATATTTATTTTTATAAATAAATAATATTATTACATTCCTATGACATAGTTTGACGGTAGACTATCAAATAGTTTAAATTAATTTTTTTTTTTTTTTTATTGGATAACCCGCGGCAACATGGGCCATTGGGTGTGTGGAGGGAACTGTAGGTTTTTAGATTGGGTAGGTTGGTACACGAGTGTGTTTGTGGTGGCAGAATTTTTATTGGGGCACCCGTAGGTTTCTGCCATGCCCCGGGGTGGGGGATGGCGGCATTTGTACCCCGGACACCGTGACTTGCCCGGAGAAAAATGCCGCCCAGTGGTCGAGAGTCGAACCCGCGACTGCCAGCGCCACAGTCGACGCGTTAGACCGCTCGGCCACCTCGTCCCCCTTAAATTAATTAATTAAATAATTTTATTGAGTCCTTTGGCATCAAATAACTTGTCAGAAATTAAGGTATAACAAAGTATGAAATGTATTCGCACATTATATGATTTATACACAAAAAAAAAAATTAAAAAATAATATTTAATTTACAGGCAGACTGGAATCAAACATTATTACAAAGTGAAGATTTCATTAAAGCGTCAATGGCTGTTGCTACAAAGGATAATAACCCAATATTTTCAAAACTATAATTAAATGTTTTAGTATACTAAATTTTGGACATGAATCAATTGCTCTTACTCAGAATTGTATATTTACAGTTTATTTAAAATTAACAACAACCAATGGGTACCATCCAATATTTAGATTAATAAAACTGTGGTTACACATTCAAAAGAATCAATATTGGAAAATTTTTGTAAAATATTATGTCTATACTATATTCCATTTAATTTTACCCACTCGACCAACAAAAACAAATTGCCACTACACGGGCCCCTCCTATATACACGGCGGTGGCACAGACCAAGGGGAACCGAGTATTCCGGCGGCTTAGTCGGGATATGCACAAAAATGGGTTATCTTAAATGGAATTAAGTATAGTAGATAAAATAGTAAATCGTATTATTGGAGCTAGTACAAATAATGATAATTGAGTATAATTTAAAAAAAACATTTAATTAGAATATCATAGAGGGCAATTGATACCATTAATAAAAAACTGTTTAAATAAATAACAACATGTTTTTAAATGTATAGTTTATTTTAAGTTTATATTATATTAATTAATACATTTATATGTGACAATATACTTAAAAGTAATATATTTATATATATATATAAGTTACTATATTTTCTAACTACCAGTGAAGTAATGCTAAACATATTTGTGGGTATGCCTTTTACAAGCACGTAATTAAATCCACAATAGTAAAAAGTTAAAACATTGTTATTAACATGTTTACTGCAAATCATATTTGAATATACTTATTGTAATGCTGAAAAAATTTTGGTTTTCAATCAAATTCTTAGACATTGAAAAATTAAAATATCAACGTACAACTTGTATGTACTAATGAATTAATATTTATAAGAAACACAAACCTAAAACGAACAATTTAATCATAACACTGACCTAATTGAAGTACATTTAATAATAAGGTACATGACATCAATTATTCAGTGACATCATTCAGCATATACAAATAATATTGAATTATGTTATTTGACGTCATCTGCAGTGAACCATGTTAAGTAAAAAAAAATGTTTATTGCTTCGCTCAATATATTATAATAATTTTTTTGTAGCACTTATTATTACTATCAGATACACATATTTAATATTTATGAAGTTATTTAATAAGTCTTTTGTGGATATTTACTGTAGTACTTTTCCAAACAAAAATCATGAAAACATCTTAGGAAGATAATCACCTGATAAAAAGAAAACTAGTGAATAAACGCCATATCCCGCCCCCCAATACCATCACTGTTACCTACTATGTTTGGAGCATAATGGCTCCTAATAAAATGTTGTTTATTGATTTGGTTATAACAGGGGATAGCTTAGATTTCTTACATTTTCCTAACTATTATAATCAAAAACTTTTAGCAGTTTAAACTTTAAAATATAAATTAGCAAAAAGATAAAAAATTATTAAGAAACTTACGCCAGGTTGCATGAAAAATGAATTAATTTAATGGACCACTCATGAGCTACTAAATAATGTTTATGGGACTATTAGCTCACTATTGATTCAATAATTAATGATTAGTCATAGTTCATGTAATCTGGCATAATGGTTTCAAATAATTATACTCATTAGTATGTTTTATAATTATATATATATAATTGTTAATTTTAAAATAAAGACATCAACAACTAAATATATTATACTTTTTGATACAACTCATAATTTGTTAAAAAGGTCAGATCAATGTGTCATAAACAAATTAATAATTAATCCATAATGCAATAAATTAATTTCCGTGCTAGTTTAGGTCCAATTAATATTTTATATTCTTTAATCCGTTCATCGTCATTTTCGTTATTACCAATTATTTTGAACGCTGAATAAGGCATCAATGAACCACGATACAATACTGGAATCTATAAATCATAATATTAATGTACGGTTACACTATAGTTTCATTGATATTTTTTACATTATCTATTGTGGAAATATCAGCATCTTGAACATCCCCAGACACATCAAATATAGAATACTTTTCATTATCAAGTTTCTGAATACATTTATCAATTGCATGCCATGTATATTTAAGTGGGCATAATAGATAAGATGGTCGAAATTTTGCCTTGTAGCGCATTTTTGAACATGAATGTATATAAAAGCCCATATAGTAATACTTCAAATCGGGTGACATCTTGTACAATTGTCTTACTAAATAAATTTCCCTAAAACACTCTCAGAATTAATTAATTTCAATATTAAAGTAATATTTTATTATAAAAAGTTTTGAATTTACCTCAAAGAACTGTAAGTTCCTAAAACTAAATTATGATAATCTGGGTCGTAAAATAAATATACAGATGATACACATTTTGGTAAAATATCTATTACTCCAACAGCTATTAGTTTATCACCAAGCCAGTATTGTTGATGAAATGAACCATATCCTGGATGATCAGGATGCTTTGATTTTTCCTCCTAAAAATAAAATTGATGACATTTAATTAACGATTATGATGTGTTTGAGTTAGGAGCATTTATCAAATTGGTGGATCGATCAGACCGACAAACTTAAACAACCGTGTGTTACAGATGACATGGTATTTTAGACCTAGGAAAGGTAGCAGTGTCGTATGCTATCTACACAATAAATGTTCATATCATATGATATCGACAAATACTATTTATTCACAGACCACAATAGAGCCATATAGGATTTTTCACCGAAATATCGGTTGGAGTCTTGGAGAAGATATCAAAACTATATTGAAATACTCAACCCTAGAATTTAAGTGATTTCACGATTAGTTGAGTGCGTCTTTTGTATTTGTGTTCAATTGGTGATTTATATTGATATATTATATTTTATACTAACAAAACTTGGGTGAACTTTTTTAACAAAATGGTGTAGAAATTTGAGAACCTTCATTCATCCATGAAGTGTTTTGGTTTAAAATAAAGATAAGATTACAACTAATCATGCGTAGACAGTATTTTATGCGTTGATAGCATACTACACCATGTATTAACATTTGTAGATAATATTATTTATTGTGTAAATAGCATATGACACCACGCCTCTAGGAAATTAATGATACCTTCAAAGGTGAATCAACAAGAAATGATAAGTATTGTTCCATATTACACTCATCTGGTGTGTCGTTGTGCACGGCTATTTGATATTTGGCAAATAGGGTAGCTCCCGCAGTGAAAGTTTGAGTAAATGCTTCTGTGCCGGTCTTGACCAAAGACACCTTACACATAAAAAGTTTTCAATAAGTTAAGAAATAAAATCTTACTTTAAGAGGTGAATTGATAAGAAATCGAATAAATTGTTCCCTTGAACAGCGTTCAATTTCATCACCATGTATAACAGTTTGGTATTTTTGGTATACTGCATACTCATCTTCAAAAGAATTGCTTGAAGATTTCATCATTAGTAATTTTATCTAAAATGTATTATTTTTAGATTCTGACCGGAGCGATGAATGTATTGATTTAACAATGTGTGTTTTTTATTTTTAGTCTATCATCACCGTTTGGGATAGTAAAACTGCTTGGATTTTCTTCAACAGTATCTTGTTTGACGGGAAAGTAAATCTAGTTGGTGCATTTGGGAGGTAAAAATTTAAAATTCCTCATAGTTTTCACAAGTTCTGGGAAAAACAACATAAAAATTAAGGAAAACGGGAAATTTTACAGCAAAATTGATTTTGGTTTTTGGAACTTTAAAACATATTATGACCGTAATAATAAATTAAATTTTTACTGGTTGTTTATATTAGCATTTACTATACACGGTAAAAGTTTCAAAAGATTTTGATTTGTTTTGAATTGTTTACGGACATTTTCAGTTACCAACTTTTTAGTTTTCTTAAAATTGTATTTGTTGGCTAAAAAAGGTTGAAAATTTCATAAGAGGCTCCTAATATATTGGTACAATAGAAGTTGAAAAAAATAAAAAACATAGGCACAACTTTTTTTATAAGCATTTAAAGTTTTTTTTTTTTTGATAAAAATAGAGTATTTACAATCTGTAATATTTATAATATACAATAATAAGTAAATTTGATAGCAAAAAAAAAACTTGATGGTACAAAACATGAATGGCGTGAGGAGGGAGGCCCACCAGTGTGTATACCCTCGAACTTGGGGTAGGGAGTTTTTTTTTTTTTTTTAATTAGTGCAGGTTGGGATTCAGAAGATCTCGACACCGGTGTCTTTTTAATCGACGTGGGGGGTTATTTGACATGAATTCACTGGCTAAGTTAGAAATCGATGGATTTGTGTATTGAACTGTTTTGGTGTGGACATTTTTATAGTAATTTTTAGCTGTTTTAGAGACTGTTTCAATTTTAAGATCTTTATGTAGTGAGAGGTTTGAGACGTACCATGGAACAAATGTTGAATTATCTCTAAATAGTCAGACGACAGACATGTTAATAGTAATTATTAAAATCTATGGTAATAGTAGTAACATAATAGGTACCTATACTGACTATACCGATGTACAATATTTAAATATAGTAATAATATTTTCTTTATTACGGAAATAAATTCCAATTCGTTTTTTTTTTTCATATATTATATAGCATAAAAAATATTTATATTTTGTATTCAAATACTTTGTGACTATTAGTAAAATACTATTAGATAATTTTTATCTACAACTTTACTATAACTATATATTTCATTCAACTAGTACTAAAGATAATGAGATGTTGAGGTATTTAAATTATTAATAAATTAAAGTAGGATATTATTAGTAAATCAAAAATTATTACTATTACTTGAAGTAAAAATTCCACAATTTATATAATGTATTCACCATAAGAATCCGTTAATCTCCGACCTATCATCTGCTTCTATCCCAGGTAACCCAGTTAAAAGACTTAAAAGACAGTGGTGTCTCGACCTGCTAGCCTAATTTAGTCCTACTCATGTCGTAGTACCTCCGCTGGGAGGCCTCTACATTCGGGATAATCTGTCATTTATTTTTATTTTATTTTATTTTTTACTTTCATCAATTGTTCTTATTGTTCATGTATTGAAACAGATTGAATAAAATATTTTAATTAAAAAAAAAAAAAAAATATAATGTATTAACAGTTTTATTTAATATGATATATCAATATTAATTATTGGCACATGGGTAAATTACACAATTCATTTTTTTATTAATTTAGTATATCAAAAAATAAGTCAACTTAGATTATTTTTTTTATATTATAATTTATTACATTTTATAACTTATGTACCTACTACATTTTTATTATTTTTAATAATAATAAATGTAATCAAAATTATAATTTATACATTTTTGTTATTTATTCTTTATTAGTGCAAGATTGATTCTGATGGCAATATAAATGGCAACACAACACCCAATTTTTACCACATATACATTATACATACATTAGTGGTACAGCTAATGATGCATGCACAATATACATTTTAAAAAACTTACATAAGTATGATGGATACTAAACATGAAACAAAAATATGAACCTCGAGATCTACTATAAATATACATCAAAAATGATAAAATCATAAGGCATATTATATTGGTAATGTCATTGCATTGGTTAAATATATGCAAGTGTTTTAATCAATGGTATCAAGGTATAAAAGTCGATGCAATCTTATTCGAAACATTCAATGCAGAAATATAACTGAAAAATTTCAGGGAGTTTATTAAATAAATATCTAGCTAAATTGTTTATTACATTTGTACATAGGTTTTTCATGAAAAAACAACATTCAATACTTAAACAATAACCAGTGGAGGATTTAATGAAACAAATATTTAATTTTCGGATTGGGTCTTAAGGGCTACTGTTCAAGCTAATCACCCTCCCTATTAAAGTATACAGTATAACATATAAGTAATATATTAAATGGGCACACAAAAAGATATATATTAGAAAATAAATAAAAATGTTCAAAATAAATATCAGAAGTATCTAAAATTCTGAATATTTTATTTATTTTTAGAAAATTTAAATATAATGTGTAACACATTATAATAGTATTATACAATATTTTATTTTGTTATTGCCATTGCCCCTCATAAACGGTCTGGATTATAATAGTACTTAATATGTTTTTAACATTCCAGTATTTTCACTTACAATATATTTAATTAGACTTAATTTATTTTCTAAAAATCTTTGAAAACGGACACTCGACACTCAAAAAAAAATAGTAATATACGAGGGCAATTCAGAAAGTAACCTCCGGTTGATTGAAAAAAATACACCAAGTTAAGTAAAAATATTTTAATATATACATCTTACAACTACATCTTTGCACTATTTTTCGACATAGTCTCCATCGCGATTGAGGCACTTATCGTATCTCTTCACAAGCTTTGAAATTCCTTCTGCATAAAAATCACCCGCTTGTGCCTTGAGCCAGCCTGTGACCGCATCTTTGAGCTCTTCGTCGTCATCAAACCGCTGGGACCCGAGCCATTTCTTCATATGCATGAAGAGGTGATAATCGCTTGGCGCCAGATCTGGGCTGTAAGGTGGATGGTTGAAAACGTCCCACTTGAAGGACTTAAGAAGGGCTGTTGTTCTGCGAGCAGAGTGAGGACGGGCGTTATCGTGCAAAAAAACGATACCGGAAGTCAGCAGACCACGGCGTTTGTTCTGTATAGCCCGTCGTAATGTTTTTAGTGTTTCACAGTACACGTCTTGATTAATGGTCGTCCCACGTTCCATGAATTCAACCAACAACACCCCTTTGGCATCCCAAAACACCGTTGCCATCAGTTTTCTGGCAGAAAAATCTTGCCGGGCTTTTTTTGGTTTGGTAGGCGAATCTGAATGTACCCACATCTTTGATTGTTCTTTTGTCTCAGGGTTCACGTACTTAATCCAGGTTTCGTCACAGGTCACGATTCTGTTTAACAATGGTTCTCCTTCGTCCGCATAACGTGACAGAAAGTCTAATGCAGAGGCCATTCTTTGAGTTTTGTGATGGTCGGTAAGAATTTTGGGCACCCATCGTGCACAGAACTTACGGTAACCCAATCTTGCTGTCACTATCTCGTATAAAAGAGTCTTAGAAATCTGTGGAAAATCAGTAGACAACTCCGCCATTGTGAAACGTCGATTTTCACGAACTTTTGCATCAACTGTCTGAACGAGTTCGTCAGTCACCAAGGATGGTCTACCACTCCTCTCTTCATCATGAACGTTTTCTCGTCCACTTTTAAATAAACGTACCCATTCACGGACAACTCCTTCACTCATAACTTTTGGTCCGTACACGGCACAAAGCTCACGATGAATAGCTGCTGCAGAGTATCTTTTGGCTGTAAAAAACCGTATAACAGCACGCACTTCACATTTGGCGGGATTTTCTATTGCAGCACACATTTCAAACTGCCACAAAAACTAAACAAGCGCAGGTACGATGTTCACTCGACTACAGCTTGATGCCGACTGACCTGCTGAGCGCGTCCCAGCAGTTTGATGACGACGAAAAGCTCAAAGATGCGGTCACAGGCTGGCTCAAGGCACAAGCGGGTGATTTTTATGCAGAAGGAATTTCAAAGCTTGTGAAGAGATACGATAAGTGCCTCAATCGTGATGGAGACTATGTCGAAAAATAGTGCAAAGATGTAGTTGTAAGATGTATATATTAAAATATTTTTACTTAACTTGGTGTATTTTTTTCAATCAACCGGAGGTTACTTTCTGAATTACCCTCGTAGTAAGACAATTAAGTTAGAATGAAATAGTTAGTACTTAGTTATACCACTAAAAGAAAGCGCCTAAAAAAATATATATATTTAAGATCACACTTACTCCATGTATAAAAACATATTAATATGCATTGAATAAAATTTAAATTTAGTTACACAAAATATTTCTAAATTAACCTTTTAGTACTAATATGGCTACTTACTCTTAATTTTTGAACCCCACCAGCAGATACTGAATCATTCTCTGCAATAAATTCTTCTAAACATTTTTGTTGAGGTGCTGAAATTTTAGTTACAAAATTTGGGTCCTTGGCTAGTTTCTTTTGAATGCGTAGTAATTTTTTTTTTTTTGAACTAGGCAAATTTGGATTAGCTCCTTCGCCTATAGTATTGATATATTTTCTTAATTATTAATATATTAATATTATTAAAACTAGTTTAGGTATTCAATTTAAAAAAAAACTATACCAGGCTTAACTTTTTTAGTTTCTTTCTTAGTATCAGAGTTGCAACTTAAATCAAGAGGTACAACCATTTTGCTATCTTCTATAAAATATAAAATAATGAAAAATTATCATCAATGATATACATATTTTATTTAATAATTCAATGATAACAATTAAGTTTTTTTAATTTAGATTACCTGTATTTGTAGTAACTACAGTACTATTATGAGAACCAATAACAGAAGCACTTTGTTCTTCATCAAATAAATAATCAGAGTTAGTAATTTTCATTTCATCATCATGATTTTGTATATCTATAAATATTATAAATCAGAATTATTTATGTATTAATTTGTTCATTAAAGATACAACTAAAAAATTTAATAATGTAAAACAAATTTGTTAAGACATTATTAATATGAAGTCAAGATAATTAGGCATGAATATAGAAAAGTATCTAAAGCCAGTATAACACTGGTTTGACATTGGTTGATTGACAAAAAAACGATTAACTTCAAAGGAAGGTTTTTGTTGATCGACCAATAACAAAACAGTGTAATATTGGCATAATGCCTTAATAAAAACACAATATAATAATGAAGAAATCTAAAAAAAAAGCAAAAAAAATAAATTAAAAAGCAAATTACCTTCAAATTTATATTTCATAATGGGTTCTCTTTCAGCTTGTTCAGTATTAACTGGATTTTTCTCACATTCCCCATTTTTTAAAAATGTAGTTACTCTTTTAATGATTTTTTTCTGTGACTTTGATAACTCAACATTTAAAGCTTCACATCTATTTTTATAAAATAATTTGATAGTTAGCCACAAAGAAGTTTAAAAATCAAATACAATTTAATTAAAATAAATATCAATGTAGATTTTTCAGGCAAGCACAATTCTTTTAGAACCCATATTTAAAGTTTTAATTATTTTTATACTTCCATATTGATAGTTTGATAAACACAAAAATAAAAACTACACTCCGGTCTTAAAAAAAATAATACCTACCTACATCAGTTATATTTTTTATCTGATTTTCAAAAAACAGATTATACCTGATTGTGTAAAGTGGACAACAGGTCTTTTCCATGAGTGCTTTGTAACAATACTTGCCAGCACGTCGCCAGCCACGATCAATCATATCTTGATATGCTTGTACTGAAAGACTTGAAGCCCACATTCCTATCAATCAATCATAGTATATAAATCAACATCCAAGAATATAATACGTACAAAATACTATGCTTACCATTGCTAAAGCTGGAATTTTCTTTCTTGCAGTAACCGCATGACGATCTTTTAGTTGACCCATTATAAAATACTATGCTTTTCGTATTAATGCTCTGCATAGTTAGCAACCGATTTGAAGAATAAATTATATTTAAGAAGAATAAACGCACTCAATATAACGTTTAGAATTAGAAGATCAACAACAGAGTTGCAGAAAAATACACTTTGTATAAGTACAAAGTATACGGAGCTAAACTATAAAAGCTTAAAGTTTAATACCTAGTACCTACATAGAATAATACTAGGGTACCAGGACAATTGTTTATCTAAAGATGTTTTTAGAGCGCACAATATAATAGTTACGCACAGTATCTGCACAATGACGGCAATATTATTGTAGATATTTGATATTCTCTTATTATCTATGATTATTCTTGTATGACGTACACAGCGTACACTACTTCAGCTGTGCGAAATACCCACGAATAATATTATATTGAACATTTATATTAGGTATCTAGTATCTACTAGTATCTACTATCTATAGAAATATCTGCGAGTTATAATAGTGTAGAAATAATTTGCATCAGTGTTGATAATGAATGATAATAGAATTCCGTAGTACGCTGTAGATACGGATTTCGGGACTAATTTTAATTTTTATACTAATATCACAGATTTCTATACTAAATAGTACATACTACATACTATAAAAAAATATAATATAGAAAACTGTGACTAATATAATATATCTTAGCCCCGAGTCCGTGGCTGTAGACCAGTGGAGAGTGACTGTGTTGATGATCTTATCAAACGATAGCATCGTAGATTATTGATAAGCATATTGTACGGAATACCGCGACGCGACGGCGCGACCACTACACGTCTACACAGTACACTTAACACTATAGCTATTACACTGCGTAATGTGTAGGTACCTACATTCATTTTCAGAATTTTGAAATTTACGGTTTGCACTGATTTTTTGTCGGCTAGCATTTTTATATTTTGTTGTATTCACTGGACTGGACAACAATTGACGATTCTACAGTTTTTGTCTGTAGTTCCGTTCATGACAAAATATTTTTTCATGCTACATAGTAAATAGTAATACCACTGCTACATAATAAGTGACTGTTGTAGATATTATAGATATATTTTGACATGCAATTACTAAATTTCAATCGCTACCAGGCCGACATCCACACGTCTGATCCACAAAAATCATAATCTATTCTGTATATTATTTTAATCTAATGTCATGGGTACTTTCTACTCCAAAGTAATCATTGATTTGTTGTTTTCTACGTATTTGCATGCATAGAACTGCCATCCTATATTAAGAGATTATTATTTTACACTGGAAATGTTGGGGATTACAAAAACTGTATATTCATTATATTCTCATATGTATATGTTCACTAAACAAATTTTAAAATTGTTCAATAAATCTGAACCACCCAATCATTTGGAAAATGTTGATGGAGAATTTGTTAATATTATGGCTGATATAATTTGAAAAGTTAATATGGGTTGCACACCTACAAAAATATTTTTCAAACGAGTTAAAATTATATTTGAAAAAATAGTGATAAACCCACAGATATAAAATACTATTTTATATCTATGGATAAACCAATATTATTACCTATGTATTTTATGTCTAAAATCTTTTTTTTTTTTTTGATTCAGAGAAAATATTGTAACATCAAGAGTACTATTTTTGAGGATGCTAAGACTAGTTGGTGTACTAATTTAGTCAGTTGCATATCTATGGGGGGGTCTTAACCCCCCCCCCCCCTCCCAAGACCAAATTTTGTACACAATACGACATGTATATAATATGTGTATACTGAATGTCTATTAAAAATTGTATATCCCCCCTTGACAAAATCTTAGATACTCAACTGCATTCAATCGCAATCAAAAAATGTGGCTTATGCCATCATGAACAAAGTTATAGAAAAGTATGTGAATTGATTTTATCACTTGTCATATACCTACTAAATTTACATATTTTTTTTTCATTTTAGAACAATTAATGATGTCTCATATTGGTGTAAATCATTGGAATTTGTATTGGATATATTGTTATTCCCAAATGAAGGATTGATTAATCTGTATAATTCTGCAATATCAAAACATAGTGACTGTCCAAATTGTAAACACATTATTCAGGTGAAATTAATTTATGTATCATACTTTTCTTAATAATTTGGATGTTACCACGTCAAAAATATTACAGTTTACTCAGTTACTCGTACCTTGATATCTCAAAAATAAAAAATTCTCCTTCAAAGTCATAAAGCTTAATTGGTTTTTGATTTGTAAATATTTTAAGCAACTCAATTTTTTTTTGAACTTCAATACTTCATATAACCAAGAGTAGACTGTAGAGTGTAGGTGTGACAAAAAGTTATTTAGACATTTTGCGAAATTCTATAATATTTCTAGTTTCAATTTCTATTTCAAGTTTCTAAACTTGATCTTTCTCTACACAGATGATGCTTCAACCATATTAAAATACAACAAAACAATATTCAGTTGACTAGAATCTATATTGTTGACCCCAACCAATGTAGTAGTTTTTGACTGCAAAACATATTTACTCATTGGGGTTGCTACCGCTTTGGTCGGTTCATTATTTGTAAAACTAGTGAAATTTTATCATGAAGGGGTTCATAAACATGTACCAAAAAGCAACAAAAACCTGATAATATTCAGATCAGACACAAATCTTACACTAAAAAGTGTATGTATTTTAAAACTATTAGGTCATTTATTTCTATTTTTTTTTGTATGAAATTCTCATACCCATAGACATTTATAGATGCAGCTCCAATTTGTATTAGCCAAAAATGTTGAACATAGCTAAAGAGAAAAATCTCCAAACGTCGATAAATGTTTGGATGTTGGTTGGCAAATTCAACAACTACTCTGAATCCATCAAAAATTGTGAACCTACAATTGGGATTTACTTCTGCTGGCAAATGAGGGAAGCTAAGATCTAAAACATTAAAATTTATAAGTACCTATACTATTTCAAATATTCTTATTAATTTCAGTAATTCGTTATTGATAAAAATTACCATGCTCAATATTTTAGCCGCCTCAGGACTTGATTGGAAGAGATTTGAATATACTATTCATACTCCTTCTGCAGTACCTTACAATAGAATAGATGGGTTCTTTGGATAGTGGTGCCAACACATTTTTTTTACACACAATTGGGATTGCAAAAATGTGTAATTTATTGCACCTTCTGTATTTTTAAGGCAGTAAATAATTGTATTGTTATATAATAACTTTTTTTTTTTATTATTCTGATAAGTTACAATGATACTCTGCAGCAATGCGATGGCCATTAGTTAAAACTATGTATTATTGAACTTCTTTTACATACTAGACTATTTCTCTGTTATAAATTCCTCTAATAGAGCTGGACATAGTTCCAGGTTTTGTACTTGCTGTACCAATAGCTCTTCTCAAATGAACCATAGGAACATCTACTAATCGAATATCATTGTTATGTTGTACTAGTACCTTTAAAACATTATCGTTCATGTTTGCTCTTACATAGGCAGTAGCAGAACAAAATTCTCTGCGATTTTTTTGATTTTTGCATACCTACTAAATATCTAAATAGCTATATATTATAAATTTTAGTTTTTATAATTTTAAATTTGATGTAAACTAATGTAAAAAAACTGTCAGCATACTATTGTATAGCCAAACAAACCAAATCTTAAAATAATTATTTTTTTTAATTCCTAGTGTTAAATAATTTGTGATATTTCTATTCACGTTTTATTAATTCGACTTTTACTTTTGAGGTGATTTAAATTGTCAACAAATATTTGAGACATAAGTATAACACCAGGGATTATTGTGTATGTAATTGCTTAGAAAATATTTTAAGACAGTTATTTAAATTCCATTTAAACTTCAAAATATATATACTACAAGTATTAAATAATTTGTTATATATTTTTAACTTAGTTACCTAACATATGAAACTAGTCAGTTCGTTTTCTAATCAACTTTTTAACTTAACAACTTAACTTTTCTCAGTTTGAATTTTTAATAATCATGTAAAGTAAAATAAGTAATTAATATATTGTATATTAAGTTATCATCTTGTGTTCTTTAAACTTAACTTGAGTTGATTGTTTTCATTAACTTGCCCACTTTTGGGCCATAATTCCTTAGCATTGATTTTTTTTAATTACAACATGATAAATTTAATATGCATTTCTAGCCCTGCACCTGCTTGAAGGTTAAGGAGTAGGATGACAATATGCTTAGTGTTAGCATAACCAGAATCTGCAACTATTAAGCTAATACTTCATACTTTTAGTCCCAAGTATTACTTTAACTGAACAACCATTATATGTACAGTATATAATATATATGGTAATATGGTATACACTGATAATTTAAATATTCATGGAACTCTTTGTCATCGTCATAAAAATGTATTTCGTTTTCATTATGCATTATACATTTTTATACTTCCAAGTTACTTTACTATTAATGTAACTTCATAACAATCAAATTTCCATTTTTATAAAAATTACTAGTGTCGTGGTGAACGGCTTTTACCTAATGCAATTGCTTAGCCCTGGACCTTTTTCAGGGGGGGGGTACAACTTGGCTCAGGTAAAGATTATAAAGAATAGATTAAGAACATTAAGATTGGAATCACTACTGTTTTTATCTTGCAAAAAAGATATTTCACCTAATTTAGAAGAAGCATTAGATAGAATGGGTAAATCTTCTTAACTGCTAGAAAGAGCTCTTTTATTTAAATAAATAAATAAATTTATATTTATGTGATACTGAAAATAAAAAATGATATTACTATAGGTATACCTATATTATTTTTTATGTATAGAATTTTAATTATGATTAATGCATTATAAAATCTATTTTCTATTACCTAACGGCTAACACACTTACATATAAGCATAAAAGACTGCTTCAAAAATCAAAAGTCATCAGAGTTAATTGGTATTTTAGATTCTGAGTGGAACGATGAATATATTTATTTTACAATGTGTGTGTTTTTTTTTAAATTTTTTTTTTTTTTTTGTATCTGTCATCACGTTTTAGGACAGTA